GTCATTTTATATATATTTAATTAAGAATTCATAAAAATATCATTAAAAACATATATCACGATGTAATTAGTTATATAATATAGAAAATATATATACATAATATACTTTGTATATAATATATAATGGAATATATAATAATTTGAGAGATTTATTTTTTAATTATATAAATAAAAAAAATATTACTATGTAGAGAATATAATAAAATAATTATTTTTATATTTAATTCTTTTAATTTTCGTAAATAATATTAAACCTCAATAACAAAATTTCTTATTATCCTCATATTCCTGCATTTTGCATTACGTTGTCATGCTTATAATTACAATGACTAGGGTGTTAATAATACAAACATAATAAAAATATATATAACTGTCATTTTTGCATAATTATATTTTTTTAATATATCATAATATATAATATATTATGAAGGAGAAATAATTTCCAATTTTTATAATAATTTCATAATTGAGAATTACATGTTTATTAATTTTTTTCTAACAATGAATTTAATGTATTTTTTAATATTTATTAAAGATTAATTTTTTCGTTAGGCAAAACTGTTTTCATATAACTGAAATACATGTTACACGAAATTATTAAAACTTATTTATACTAAATATATAACAAATGTAGACTTTCATTCATTTTTTAGTATTTAAATGGATATTCCAAAAAACGAAGCATTATTTCCATAAAAATTAATATATATTATATTTAGTATAAGTAAATATGAATATATGTCTTCTTTTTTACTCATGTAATGAGTCAGATACTGTAATAATACTTTACTTAAAATACACGTATGTTATTAATAATACTGAGATAATATAAATTCAATTGAATTAACAATCTAATAATATGAAAAAATATATATATATCTCAAAACATATAAAAAATATTTGTGTATAAAAAGTTTTTCAAGGAAATGTAGACGTAAATTCATATTTTTATATAATATGACAAAAATATTTATTTCATATACCACTTTAGATTTATTATATATTATTATGATATTATTAATAAAAGTGATTAATAAACAAACAATATTATACTAATGATGTATATAAGAATATTATGGAGAATGATATCATATGTATATGGTGCCATAAACGCAGCGATAATAGTGTATCCTTATAACACAAAAAAATCTATGAATAATAGATTTGCAAATAAAAAATAAAAAAATTAGTATACGGAAGAATAAATTATTAAATAATATTGTAACAAATATACATATTAAAAGAATTATAATGTAAATGCATTGCATTATTTTATTTAATATACATAAATGTAATATAATGTACTAATATGATTATATCAATGCTTATGATATAATTATAAAATATAATAATAAAATATATCAAAAAAATTCAAATAAAACATATAAGCTGTAAAAACACTGAATGAATGATACAATAGTTTCTCAATGCAGTAATTAAAGTTTAAAAAAATGCCTAAAAACTAAACAATATATCTAAATGCTGAACAACATATGAATCTTTATTAATCCTGAAATAGTGTAATTTTAAATTATATAAAATTTATAGAAAAAAAACATATATAATTGACAGAAAATGATATGTATATTTGAGTCCTTCCCAATGAGTATAACGTATAAAAGGACTATGTTATAAAATATAAATGTTTAGGCATAATCCCTTAATATTTTATTAAACTTTCATTTCATATGATACAATAAATTACAAAAACAAGAAATATCATTAATGTCATATTATATATGATGAATAATTACAATTTGTTTTATGTATATATCAAATATTCTGAAATAATGTTAAATGTATATTAATTACATAAGCACATTGTAACATTTATTTAAAATAAATTATAAGATCATTTTTATATTTATGTTATATAAAATAATTCAAATATATTATGTTTTTTTCTTTAGATATAACTTAAAAAAGAAATTCAAATCATTATTTTTAATCATTTATTATTATTTATTTATGAATAAACAGACTCGTATCTATGTTGATTAAAGAACAAAAAATAAATTAAATAAATAAAATAATTCCAATTGAGCTTTCTATATAATTTCTTAAAATATATGTCATAAGATTAAAAGTGTTATTTTACAATATGTGTTAATGCTTAAATTAACAATTTTATACTTATATATGACATAATATCTGAACTTTAAGTTACGTATAATTACTTAAGAATATTATTTAATTTGTAACTTCTCATATTTATTGTATTATATAATGTGAATATGGCTCATAATGAAGCACAGGTCAAGATACATTAAAATATAAAAAAGATATAGAATATATGTATATTGATGAATATCCTTCTCTTATTGATTTCAATAGAAGACCTTTAATAATAATGAATATCTAATTATTTTAATTTTTGATTTATTTTTAACTTTTCAGACTTTTGACAAAACTAATTTACCTTCAGCTAAATTTTATGATGTGCTGGATAAAAATTCTATGGGATTAAATGTACCATATTGTAAAGGTTTTTCTAATAGTTACGGTACAAAAGGACAAATTAAAAATCTTTGTATAAAATATATAAATTATTTAAGAAATCAAGAGAAAATATGGAGTAATTTTGAATACATTAAAAGGAATTGTAATATTTTTACATTTTGGCTATATGATAAACTATCAATATCTCTTAATATGGATGCAAAATATTGTTCTAATGCATTATCTGAAATCAACCTTATGTGGACTAAGACATTTTCTTTGGATGGTCGTAACAATAAATATAAATGTAATCCTTATCATGATATTCAGAATTATCATTATGCATGGGAAAATGCTAAAAAACTATTTGATTACTCTATCAATTTTGATTATATTAATTCTATAAAAAGTAATAGCAAAGAAAACTGTGATAAATTATGCGAATACCTCAGTGATATAGCTGATATATATATAGATAATAATAAGCGTTGTAATCATAATGCAGAACATATGTGCCCTGGTTTATGGAATGAATACGAAAAGTACAATCCAAAAGACTTGTTAGTTAAGTTTAATTGTCATGATGATGTTCCCGTATTAGATATTGATGTACATGATGTATCTGAAGGAGGACGTGATGGTGTACCTGAAAAAGAAACTGAAGGTGGACTTGAAAAAGGAACTGAAGGTGAACCTGATGAAGGACTTGAAGAGTCACCTGATGGAGAAGAGTTTCATGATATTCCTGAAGATGGAATGGTTTTTCAGGATGATGCACAATTATTGCATGATGAATCCAATACTTTAGGTACATTTGGTAATTCTCTTTTAGGATTAGTTCTATCATCTATGTTATTAGGTGTTTTATATAATGTAAATAAATATTATATTAATTTTTATATATTTTATTAACGTAGTAAATCATTTCTACATATATGCATACGTAATAGGTTAATAAATTGCACATATATCTTATTATTTCTAAATTTACAAGTTTACGCCATTAGGAAGAATATTTCAAAATAAGTTTCCAAATGTTGCTTATATGATAAACAATCTAAGTCATAAAGGAAAAAGGTTATCCAACCATAGATCAGATACGTATAGCCCATTTCGCGAATATTTGGAAGAAAATTATATAAGATATGACCCAGTCTAATATTATAATATACAAAATAACTTTTAAGCAGTTTCCGTTATGTTAAAATTAATTATGAAATTAAAGAGTACACAAATATTTCTTCTAATGTGGGAAAAGAATACTTATGGATTAATATGTATAATATGTATTGTTTAATTATTGAAAAAATATTTATAAGAAAAAGTATTAAAATAAATAAAAAAAACCTAGTATGTCAAAGTATCAGGGATTATTTTTCATCGATTTGAATTTTTGGATTGATATATATAGTTTAATGTTTTAGGATTCTATTTATGCACTTAAGATTTAATATTCATATATATTTTTTTACCATTTTTTTTTTTATCTTTAGGAATATTTGTTTTAGAAGATAGTGTTTTGAATTATAATATCTGTTTTATATACTAGGATTACGCTTAATAATATATATATTTTTTATTACATATAATTATAATGGTATGTATACGGACATGTGTTTTGATGTTTCATCTATTTTTATATATATTATATTTGTAAATTATAAGGAGAATAATATGAAAAATAATATATTTTATAGGAATCGAAAATATCAATTCTTATATATATATCATGTTGTATTAGTTTTATTATTGTTGAAAAACTGTTTTTGATATATCATATGTTAACAACGTCTTATTGTAAAAATATATTATATATATAAATTTCGATCTACATTATTTTACACAATTTATTTATATTATAGTTGTATGTATAATTAATATATATATATCTATAGTCATTAAACAATTAATATTCTAAAATATGCCTGATTTTATAATGTATTACACTATTTATTCATAAAATGTACATTACATTATTTATATAAGTGTATATATAAGAATGAATTGATATGACATTTATTTTACGATATATATTATATAATTACAATTAATACAGATTTTAATTATAATAATTATAGCATAATTTAGATTCATACTTTAAAATTTTATATAAGAAATCATTTAATAGCGCTTTGAGATTTAGCAGAGTATTAAATAACCTTTTTAATGAAACCTTTTTTTAAATGATAAATATGAATTTTATATTATTATTTTAATTTACGTATGTAATATATTGATTATGTATACATTTATATCCTGCCACATTTACATTAATTTATAGTTCATGAAAGCAGCATATTATTAATATATTAAAAATATAGTTTACATATTGTATGATTAAATAGGAAAAAAAATTATAATATATGTGTTCTTTTTTATTTATAAAATGAACCATATATTGTAAATATATTTAATTTCACAAACACTTACTCCGATAAATAATATTGAGAAAATATACTTTTAATTGTATTAAAAACGGAAT